GGCTCCAGGTTTGGAGAGGCATACTGGGAGGGCGAGGTCACTGAAGGCGACAGGGGAGGTCAGCTGCACCAGGACAATGTCGCCCACTGCTGTGCACCTCCGTGTAGCTCAGGTGGGTAATGAGCTGGGCCATGATTAGAAGCTCCCAAGGCTTATCAGCCTTGGGGTAGGAGGAGATGGTGCTCAGCAGCACGAAGTAGGCAGACAGCAGCTGGTTCCTGGGACCAGAAATCAAGGGTATTTTGAGACTATGTGCAGGTTTCATGGGCAAGAGCTAAGGACAATATTGATTTAAGGTCATAACATTACAAAAGCATATTTTTGCGAGCTGAGCACATGCCGGCAGCAGCAATGTTTAAACCACAAGCAATCCTGCAAGGTGCCCAATTTTCCCTCTGTTTGGTGGGAGGTGAAATAACCTGTCTAAAGGCTGTCCAGATGGCAAGCAGTGGACTTGAGACCTTGGATTTTCAAAGGACATCGTGACGTGGGAGCTTTTGGTTTCTGGGAAATGAATCCTTTCTTGGGAGGGCCAGTGCGGAGTCTGCTTCCTCCCCTACTGTCTTTCCAGTGTCCAGCCTGGGGACTGGGGGAATCCTTTGTAGATAAGTGAGACCTTAGGTGGCCTGTCTCCCGCCCAGGCTTCCATTCAAATGGGGAAGGGAGCATGTCAGGGAGGAGTTAAGGGCAGGTCCCAGCTGGCCCGGGCTCAGATTCTCACTGGTCGAAGCAGTGGGCTGCAGCCAGCACCCAGGGCTTGGTGATCAAGGAGCTCGCACACAGATGCTCTCCATACTCCCCCAGGCCAACATGCCATGGCCACTGGCCCCGCTGGGCATCCTGCCCCAATATGATTTGGCCTGATGCAGGTGGGCACCGACACACTGCAGGGTAAGGCAGTGAGCTGGTATACGGGGTCCCCTCTGCAATCTCCTCACCCCATGACCCTCCCCCGCTAATCCCTAACCCTTGTGGCTGACATCTTGTGCCCTCTGATGCAGGACCCTCTCTTTATGGGAAGCCTTATGACCCTGGGGGAAGGTGCACAGCAGCTAAGTTAGGGAAGGTGGGACCTGAGGGTCTGGGTTGCTCAGTGGGAGCTGGGGGCCCAGATTGCTCAGCCCAGCTTAGTAGGGAGAAGAAAGGTCAGACCAGCTGGGCTGGGAATCTTGGGGAGGTTCTGAATGCAGCACAGTGCATGCGATATAAAATGCACCTGGCTGTGGGGTCTTGGTGGAAGCCATGAAGGCTCTGGGACTAGGGGAGTAGATACCAGCCCCCAATATCTAGGTTCCTAGAGGACCTGCCCAAGTACAGAGCTGTGAGGGGTGGGTTTGGGATTACAGACCTCTCTTTATCTGTCCCTAATATCCAGGCTCTCTCATCTGCAGTGCTTGTTACCTACCCCAGTATTTGTCCTACCTGAGTTCAGGTTTATTGCTCTGGCATTTGTTGGGGAGAGGTTGAATGGGAGAGCTTTGGGGCTTCCTTGAAGGATTTGCAGGGGGAAGAACAGGATGGCCATGAGGGCCAGCTGCATGGTACCTTCCAGCCACCACTTCCAGGGTGGCGCTTGGGATCAGAGTCCTCAGACACACTCAGGAGGGGGAAGATGATTGCAGCTGCAGCCCAAGTTTCTGGGCTCGCCCTGGGGTGGGGCTGACACCTCTACTGCATGTCCTCAGGCCTTCAGGCCTTACCCTGCTCCTGGGCACAGGGACCCTGGCCTCTTCCACATCTTTGGCAAGACCCTTGGGCTTTCCCTCCCTTGCTCTGGCCCTGGCATCACAACACCAACGTCTCCTACCTCCTATGGGGCACTTACTGTGTGCTGGCGCTCTGCCAACCAAGCCACGTGCCCCTTGCCTGATTTCCCAGGAGCCATTGTGATCCCCATCCAACAGCAGGAGAACAAAGACTCTGATGGTTGAATGACTTACTCAAAGCCCTAAAGGTGGCAAAGCCAGATAAATCTAGTTGGTGCCATGTGTAGTGTCCAGTACCCCTGGGAGGGGGCAAGGAGTTGGGGAGTAGAACTGCAGACCTTGGGGCACATCCCATTTGCCCCCTCAACCATTTGTTTTCAACCTGGGGCTCTTGAGGGCTAAGGCGGGGCCAGGATATCTGGATTCTGAGAGGGAACTTTTTATTCAAGGAGGTGGAGCAGCTGGAGGAGGCAAGGGATTCTCAACCTGAGAAGATGACGCCCCAATGATACCCTACTCTGACCACAAATGGCAAGCACACTTTGATGTCCCTTGTCCCTGCCTGAATTTAATTTTCTGTAATTCCTAAGTTGTGACCCAGGCCCTCTTGGTTAGGGGTCTTACAGAGGTTGCATGGGCCAGAGAGGACGGCTGACCAGCCTTGGGCACTGGGTGGGGAGGAGAGACGTGGGAGACTTCTTTTGATTCCTAACTTTTTTTCCACTTGTCTAAAAGTAATGATCTTTCTAATGCCCCGCCCCCCCCCAACCTAGCCTCCAGGCAGCTCCCCGTCCAAGGGGTTCATTACCCCTGGGGGAGGCACAGTGGGTCTCAGCAGCTCAATGCTTGATCTAGGCCAAAATCATGCTCAGCACCTACTAGAGTGTTATTGCTTTTTCCCCACTACCTAATCTCTTGATTTCTGAAAAAATGTTGATTTATTTGTTTCTTGAGTATTTTGAACAGTTTTTCACTTTATGTATTTCAAAGCTCTGTTGATGCGGACATAAAGGCTCATGCCTCCTACATCTTCTCAGTGGCTTGTAACTTTTATCAACATAAAATACCCCTCTATTTCACTGGGTCAGCCTTGGGTTCTCTTTTACCTGAGATTATCTGATATATGATAATATGCAGCCACTTTCATATTGTTTGCAATTTATTCATTAATATATTTTTTTAAATCAAGACAAAATGAAAACACTTATGATGTCAGAGGGGCGAGTCCCTAGTTGGGACTCAAGCCCGAGCTCAGCGGGTTCTCAGCTTTGGGCAGGAAAGAATTCAAGACAGAGCCAGACAAGGGGTGAAAGTAGAGAAGCAGGTTTTATTGACCAGAGAGGACAAACAAGAAGAGCCACTCCACAGACAGAGTGACAGATTCTTCTCAGACAGAGTGAGAGAAGTAAGAGAGACCCCAACCATCTCTAGAGGCTGGACTTAAATGTGTTCATAGTTCCTATGGAAAATTGCTGGTATGGGAAAATAGAGAGTGCAAAAAATTGGATTAACTTTAAGGTATATTTTGTGGTCTGTTTTCCCTTTATGATGTGGATAAATAAGGTACAAATGAGTAGCTATTAGTCAATCTTTGCAGGAATTTTCTTTGTACAGTGGCGCTTAGTGATCAGCTTGCATCTGCGGTCAGCTGAGTTCTGTGTCAGGCAGCACATAGCAGGTGCCTAACTTCACTTTGTTTGACTTTAGTTGATTTATTAATGGCTTTTATATTACTTAGGAATTACAAAAAATTAAACTTCTTAACCTATTTGCTCTTATTGGAATATACTTGCTAGAATACTTGTAAAGTAGTAAACTAATTCCATTAACAGTATTATTGATTTTTGTGAGTGCAAAAGTTTTTATGTTTCACTGATATGGGAAAAAAGGCATATCCTGCCTGCTTGAGACTGTGTTTGAGAACTCTTAAATTACCAGAATTATGTAAGAGACAGCACATTTGAAATAAATCTGATTTATAGACATCACGACAGTCCTTAGCATCATCACTAATGAGTTTCTTAGAACTCACATCCATTCAATAATCTTTTTTTGGACTCACAGGTATCAGGTCACCTGCAAAGTGTGATACTGAGGAGGTAAAATATTCAAGGCCTAGGTGCTATGGTCGGAATGTTTGTTTCTCCCTGCTCCCCGAAATTCATTTGTTGAAATCTTAACTCCCAAAGTAATGGTGTTCAGGGGTGGGGCCTTAGGGAGGTGATTTGGTCATGAGACCAGAACCCTCAGTGTACGGGGCCACTTTGAGTGATATCGGGGACTCTAGTTCTGCTCAAACTGGGGCCTGGGAAAGGCTCTATAAGTCTTGGCTGTAACACTGGTAATGCGGTCGATAGGCAGGACCCAATAATAGCTCCAAGGGGCCCCGGGGGAAATCAGGCCTGGAAGTGAATTATACTCCTTGAAGCACGCTTTGTTTCTCCCTCAAGCTCTATTAATCTGATACCAGATAACCAGCTCAAGGCTGGGAAGGAAATTTACAAAATTCCTGGACCCTGACCCAAATCCCATCTGTCTCCATAATGTTTATTCATCTCGGGCCTGAGCAATTCGGTGAGTTCCTGCCATTGTCTTCTTTAAACATCAACTACAATCTGTAAACTTAAGATACTGATGTAATTAAATTACCTGTACATTTCTGCTACCTATCCCCTGCTTGTAACCCTGTCAATAAAAGCCATTGAGCACAGGGGTTTGGGGTATTCTCCTTGAAAGAGAATCACCTTCCCCTCTCCTTGACAGGCAAATGGTGTCTGGAACGACTCTTTCTTCCATCCACGGTGAATTGGGGACTTCACAGGATGAGTCCCCCATACCTCAGAAATGGGATTAGTGCCCTTATAAAACAGACCCTAGAGATTCCCCTCTCCCCTTCTGCCATGTGACGACACAGAGAGAAGGCAACGGCTGTGAACCATGAGGAGGGCCCTTACCAGACAATGAGGCTGCTGGCACCTTAATCTCAGATTCTCAGCCCAGGGACTGTGAGAAATAAATGCTTATGGTTGATAAACTACCCACTTTGTGATATTTTGTTATAGCAGCCCAAATGTACTAGGACAACCAGCAAAATCTTTGGCTTGGAAATGTTTTTCCCATGTGTATTCAGTACATTCCCTGTTTCTGCTAATGTTACATTTAGAATATATGAAGTGGAGGAGATACTTTTTCTTCAGACTTTCATAATCTGGGATAGTTCACAGGCTGTAGACCGATATCTGGAGTATATGGAAACAACACCAGGTACAAACCTGCCTTTCTAATGATCGGCTGATGGGCATTCTAGAGCCCGGCCTGGTCTGTGTCTTTTCTCAACATTTATTTTACCTAAAACACTTTTTATTATGGACATTTAAAAATATACAAAGCTGTATATGAGTACAAAGAACACCCGATATCTGTTGCTCAGCTAAAATAATTATCAATATAGAACCAATCTTTATTATTAAATTTATTGGGATGACATTGATTAATAAAATTACATAGGTTTCAAGTTTAAAATTCTATGTCATCTGTATATTTCATTGTGTATTTATCACCCAAAGTCAAATCTTCTCCCATCACCATTTACTTGACCCCCTTTACTCTTTACTACTCTCCCACCCCCCTTTCTCTCTGGTAACCGCCATACTACTGTCTGTGTCTATAGAACCAATCTTTAGATCCCTCCATGTCTTCACATTTTTCTGTCACAGAACCTGCCCTTTTAAATTTTTGCTACTAGTTCTGACCATGTTTCTCTACTGTATCTTCAAGTTTGCCAATTCATTCTTTAGCAATGTCTATATTATTATTCAGCCCTTTGTCTAAAATGTTTTACGTCAGCAATATTTTAAGTTTTCCAACACTCTTTCTTGTTCTCTGATTGCTCTTTTTCTAAATGATTCTTGTTTAATGATTGTAAATACTTCTTGAAGGTTTTTTTAGGATACCAGTTAGAATTTTCCAAGTAGTCTGATGTTCTCTCTGGAGTCAGCTCAGTTTTCTCTGGAGTCAGTTTAATTTATTCAGATAGGTTCTTCTGGTGCATGCATAGATTTTTCTCAAACATTTCTTCATCTTTGATTACTGTGCAGTAAAATGTTACCTGAAGAGATATCTAGGATGGTCAAACCCTGCAGAGTCCAAAGAAAGGACCAGCCTTTGACCAGCTCCTAGGAAATGACCTCTGAGTCCTTGGAATGCCCTGCTTGAAGACAGCATCTTTGTAGACCTGAAGCATGTGCCACTCCAGGTAGTTGATGCCAACAATGTGATATATGGTGGGGTCTTGGGGCACACTGTATCACTTAGACATCTGCTCTGATGGAGTCTAAGAACTAAAGTCAGTTACATGGGCACTCTGTGCCTATGTGATGAAACCCCAATAAAAACTTCAGACACCAAGGCTCAGGTGAGCTTCTCTGGTTAGCAATACTTCCTGTGTGTTGTTACAGCCATTGCTGGGATAATTCTGCACTGTCCCTCTGACTCCACTGGGAGAGGACAGCTGGGAGCTTGCACCTGGTCGCTCCTGGATTCTGTCCTCTGCTCCTTTTGCATTTGCTGATGTTATTTGTATCCATTCACTGTAATGAACCATAACATGAGTATAATCATTTTTCTGAGTTCTGTGAACTCTTCTAGTGAACCATTGACTTTGAGGGTGGTCCTGTGGAACAGGCTTGGTTGTCTGGTCACATTTACGATTGAAGAGCCAGCTTGTTGGCTTTGGTGCCCTGCAACATTGCCCACAAAAAAAGAAAGCTGCCTGTAGAGTCTGTGGAGTTAGTTGGGGCCTGTTGTGTGACAGGAGGCATACAGGAAGGCTAATAACTTTCTAGCGGTCAAAATCAGGCCAGCTTTTATTCTGTGGGTCTCATAAAGGATCATTACTTTTAACAGAGGTGACACAGTGCTAGATCTCCAACCAGTACTCAGTGAGGACTTGTTAGTGTGCTTTAGAAAGGGAGTCCTGGCTGTGGGCCAGGCCCTTGTTCCTTCTTAGAAGGAGGAGTGCAAAGAAAAGGGGGCAGTCAGGATCCCAGGGTTGCAGAAAGAGAAAGATTGGGTGCACTGGTTCGCGAGTCATAGCAAAGAGTGTAGCTGAGGACTCAGCCCCAGGAGAAACTCAAAGCTGCCGTTGCTGTGAGGTCTGATGTTCCCAAAAGCCCTTGGACCCAGAGAGGTCAAGCCAGGAGAAGATGGCGGCCAGGGTTCCCGTCTTCCCCAGGGGGCGCCCCAGCCCGGCCCTGGGGCAGGCAGAAGCAGAGGGGGCGCCAAGCGGCGGGAGAGGAGGCCATGGGCGCTCCGGTCGTGGTCGCGGCGCTGCTGCTGGTGCATCTGTTGGTGCCAGTCGAACTTGAGATGCAAGGTGAGCTCAGGCCGGAGCTAGGGGTGACGAGGGTAGCATGGGGAGCATGGGGAGCATGGAGACCGGGGGGAGCTCATCTTCTCTCCTCACCCCAGACTTACAGGATCAGAACCACCTCTTTTCAGGTAAGGCGCCCACGGACGGGCTCGTTTTTCGCTGCGTAGGGCACCTAGGCCTGAGAGCAAAGGGCGCTGTATCTTTTCATCTCTCTCGCCCCAGGTTTCCAGAAGTCGTCCTGGCTCACACGTAACTGATGGGCCCCTGGGGGAGGGGTAAACGCCTGCAGACCACGTGGGGAGGGTCCCCAACGTCCCTTTCTCGGTGGACTGCACGACCCCAGGATGCCCGCGGTTTCCCGGGGGCTGAGGGCGGACAGGCGGGGCTTTCTCCTGCAGCTCAGCTCCATGTCCATCTGTCCATCCCAGAGCCATGTGGCCACCTGAACATCCACCCGCGCGTAGTGGGAGGAAAAGACTCGGTTCGCGGGCGCTGGCCCTGGCAGGTCAGCCTACGCCTCCATAAAGGCCACGCTTGTGGAGGGAGCCTGCTCAGCCGGCGCTGGGTGCTCTCCGCAGCGCACTGCTTTGAAAAGTAAGTCTGTGGGCTAAGTCCGACTGCCTGCCGACCGGGTCTGCACGGTGCATGTCTTACATAGATGTGACTGCCCCTGGTGTTCTCCTGAGCCCACTGCAGCTGGCCACACCCATAGGAGTTCCCCATATGTCCTTGCGGAGAATGTGTTCCGTTTTTTCCCCAGAAGGGTCTTCCAGTACATGCCCATGCACATTTGTGTGCCTTGTTCTTTTCTCTTTCCTGTTCTCTTCTCAGTAAATGGCACAACTAGCCTTCACCTTCCTCATCCCACCTCCCCAATGAGGTGTACCACAGGTGAGAGGAATGAGCTGAGGTGGGTGAGTGTTGGGCACAGAGCCTGGCTTGTGGCAGCAGTAGCCCCTGTACCTGTTTTGACTCCACCCTGCTGAATGGCCCACTTTGGCACCTGTGTATCTGCTCATTCTTTTTTTAGAATGGCTCAGAGAGGTGACAGGCCCGCTGAGTGACTGGCCAGATCAGACCACAGGGGGAGGCATCCTCCTGCTTTACCTCCAACCCCCTAAATCCCCAGGTTCTGGGGCTTTGGTTGCAGCCTTTCTGGGCTCTCGCCATTTCTTCGCTGTACTCCTTGTCTTGTAAGAAGTGCTCATGCTGTCCAGGATGAGCCCTAATAGCACCCTGGGCTGTCTCCCTTCAAGAAGTGGGCCCCAGGTATGCTCAGGTGGCTCACACTTTGCTAAGGACCCCTGACTGCTCTCTCGTCCCCTGACAGGCATAGGGATCCCTCAAATTGGATGGTCCAGTTTGGTGAGCTATCTTCCAGGCCAGCGAAATTGGGGGCCTTCTACCATCGTTACAAGGTGCAGGACATTATTATGTACCCTCATTTCAAGGGGTCTTCATTCATTGACATTGCCCTGCTGAGGCTGACTTCCTCTGTCACCTACAATAAGTACATCCAGCCCATCTGTGTGATGGCCTCTTCCTTTGAGTTCCAGAACCGGACTGACTGCTGGGTGACTGGCTGGGGACACATCCATGAGGATAACGGTGAGGCTGGGGACAGATGGATGGGAAGGAGGGGGCATTGTTCTCCTTTTCCAGCCACACAAGCCCCGACCTTAGTCTTTGTACATCTGGGCCCTTCTGTGGGCCTGATCAGCATCTTCTCTCAACCTGCTGTCCACTCCTGCTTCCCTGGAAAGGGCAGGACTTTCTGTGCCCACACTCACTTCCCTGTCCTTCCCAGAGACTGAGCCAGAAACCAGCAGTGAGGGGGTTAGCTCCCCTGAGGCTGCATTCCCCAACCTGCAGGGATCTGGGAGTTTTGGGGGTGGATTTTTCAGAAAGGCCTTAGGCATTGGTTTGTTGTTTTCTGTTTTTGTTGTTGTTGATTAATCCTAACCCAAAGATAATTTTATTGATTTTTAGAGAGAGAGGGAGAGAAAGACAAACATCGATGTGAGAAACATCTATTAGTTGCCTCCCATATGTGCCCCAACTGGGGATCAAGCCTGTAATCTTTTGGTGTATAAGACAACATTCCAACCACCTGAGCCACCCAGCCAGAGCTGGTTTTTGTTTTAATTGAGATTTAATTCACAAGCCATAAAATTCACCATTATTAAAGTCTATACAATCCAGTGAGTTTTCATATATTCACATCACCATCATCTAAATGCAGAACATTTCCATCATCTCAAAATGACATTCTTTAACCATTAAGCAGTCACTCCAATTACCTCCTCCCTCCAGGCCTTAGCAACCGCTAACCAGCTTTTACCTCTATTTATTTACCTATTCTGGATATTTTATGGAAATGGAATCATACAATATGTGAGATTTTTGTGTCTGGCTTCTTTCACTGAGCATAATGGGGTTTTTTAAAAGTATATTTTATTGATTATGCTATTACAGTTGTCCCATTTTTTCCTTCCCTTTATCTTCCTCCAGCCTGCACCCCGCTGCCAGCATTTCCCTTCTCCTTAGTTCACGTCCATGGGTTGTACATATAAAGTTCTTTGGCTTCTCCATTTCCTATACTATTCTTAGCCTCCTCCTGTCTATTTGGTACCTACAAATTATGCTTTTTATTTCCTGTACCTTTTCCCCTATTTCCCTCTTCTCCTCCCCACTGATAACCCTCCTGGTGATCTCCACTTCTGTGAATCTGTTCCTGTTCTAGTTGTTTGCTTGTTTTCATTTTTGATATTTTTTAGGTTCAGTTGTTCATAGTTGTGAGTTTGTTGTCATTTTACTGTTCTTAGTTTTGATCTTCTTCTTTTTCTTAGATCTAAGTCCCTTTAACATTTCATATAATAAGGGCTTAGTGATGATGAACTAATTTAACTTGACCTTATCTGGGAAGCACTTTGTCGGCCCTTCCATTCTAAATGACCGCTTTGCTGGATAGAGTAATCTAGGTTGTAGGTTCTTGCCTTTCATTACTTTGAATACTTCTTTCCAGCCCCTTCTTACCTGCAAGGTTTCTTTTGAGAAATCAGCTGGTAGTCTTATGGGAACTCCTTCGTAGGTAACTCTTTCCTTTTCTCTTGCTCCTTTTAAGATTCGCTCCTTATCTTTAATCTTGGGTAATTTAATTATGATGTGTCTTGGTGTGTTTCTCCTTGGATCCAACTTCTTTGGGACTCTCTGAGCTTCCTGACCTTGCATGTCTATTTCCCTCACGAGAAGTTTTCCTTAATTATTTTCTCAAATAAGTGTTCAATGTCTTGCTCTTCCTCTTCTCCTTCTGGCACCCCTATGATTCAGATGTTGGAATGTCTAAAGTTGTCCCAGAGGTTCCTAAGCCTCTCCTCATTTTTTTTTTTTTGAATTCTTGTTTCTTCATTCTGATCCAGTTGAATGTTTATTTCTTCCTTTTGTTCCAAATCGTTGATTTGAGTCCCGGTTTCCTTCCCTTCACTCTTGGTTCCCTGTATATTTCTCTTCATTTCCCTTTGCATAGCCTTCACTTCTTCCTCTATTTTTTGTACTCAGTCATTTCTGTGAGCATCCTGATTACCAGTGTTTTGAACTCTGCATGTGATAGGTTGGCTGTTTCCTCGTTGCTTATTTCTTTTTCTGGAGTTTTGATCTGTTCTTTCATTTGGGCCATATTTCTTTGTGTTGGCGCACCTGTTATGTTGGAAGGGGCCAAGCCTTTTGTATTAGCCAGGGTGGGACAACCCACTTTGTTACACTGTGGCACTGTATATAGGAGAGGAGTCAGAGAGGGAACAATGCCTCTTGCCTGGCTCTTGCCCCACTTTCAGTCACTTCCCGTACTTCCCAGAAGCGAATTGCACTCTTTCATGTGATAATTCCTGGGTGGGCAGGCTTGTGTATGTTCTAGGGTCCTGTGGGACTCTCCAACAGACTCTCCTGTGAGACTGGGAGTTTCTCCTGCTGCTGCAATCACCACAGGTTTTATAGTCAAGGGTTTTGAGGCTTTAATTTCCTGCACTGGAACCCTGGGTTGCACAGTCTGTTTTGCTCTCCAGTTGTTTTTCCCAGTTGATCTGCATGTGAATGTGGGATATCCGGTCTGCCAGCTACCACCTTGCCACGCCTACACATCTGCCTTGTCCTCTCCTACACATCTGCCTGTCTCTGCCCCTCCTACCAGCCTAGATGAATGTTTCTTCTTTAACTCTTTGGTTGTTGGACATCCATACAGTTCAATTTTCTGGCAATTCTAGTTGATTTTTGTTTTTAAATTGGTTGTTATCTTTTTGGTCATGCAAGGAAGCAAAGGGTATCTATGTATGCCTCCATCTTGACTGAAAGCCTTCTTTCTCCATCTGCACAGCTGTGAGGAATAATTAGCAGAGCATAATGTTTTTTAAATTTCATTCACAATGTAACATGAATCAGAACTTCATTTCTTTTTATGGCTGAATAATATTCCATTGTATGGATACATCATATTTATTTATTTATTCATCCATTGATGAACATTTCTGTCGTTTGTTTCTTTTGTGTATTGCAAATAGAGCTGCTGTGAACATTAGTATACAAATTATCGTTTGACCACCTTTTTCAATTCTTCAGCATATATATTTAGCAGTACAATTGCTGGATCACATGGTAATTCTATGTTTAACTTTTTGAGGAATCAACAGTGTTCCACAGAAGCTGCACCATATTCCATTTCCTTCAACAATAGATGAGGGTAATAATTTCTCTCCATTTTCCTCAATACTTGTTATTTTCCAATTTTTTTTTGTTTTTGTTTTTGCCATCCTAGTGGGTGTGAAGTGGTATTTCATTGTGGTTATGGTTTGCATTTCTCTAATGACTAATTATGTTGAGCATCTTTTCCTGTGTGTGTTGGCCATTTGTATATCTTCCATGGACAAATATTCAAGTCCTTTACCTATTTTTAAATTGAGTTATTTTTGTTTGAATGGTAATTGTTCTTTATATATTCTGGATACTAAACCCTTATCAGTTATATGATTTGCTAACATTTTCTCTCATTCTGTAGGTTTCTTTTCATTTTCTTAATAGTGTCTTTTGATGCACAATTAAAAAAAATTTTTTATGAAGTCCAAATTATAAATTTTTCCTTTGTTGCTCATGCTTTTAAGGTCATATCTAAAAAACCATGGCCAAATACAAGGTGATGAAGATTTACCTCTATGTTTTCTTTAAAAGTTGTATTGTTTTAGTGCTTATATTTATGTCTTTGATCCATTTTGAGTTGATTTTTGTATATGGTGTGAGGTAGGGGTCCAACTTCATTCTTTTTCATGTGAATATCCACTTGTGCAAGCACTATTCATTGAAGAGACTATTCTCTCCTTCACTGAATTGTCTTGGCACCTTTGTCAAAAATGGATTTACCATAGATGTAGTTTATTTCTAGACCTGCAGTTCCATTCCATTGTTCTGTGTGTCTTTCCTTGTTCTAGGACATCATTGTTTGATCCCTGTAGCTTTATAGCATGTTTTGAAATTGGCAAGTGTGAGTCCTCCAACTTTGTTCTACTTTTTCAATATTGCTTTGGTTATTTGGTCTCTTAATATTCCACATGAATTTTAGGATCAGCTTGTCAATTTCTGCTAAAAAATCCATTGGAATTTGGATAGGGATTACATTTATCTGTAGATTGCTTTGGGGGAATGTTTTCATCTTAATAAGTCTCCATTCTATGAGCACAGGATATGTTTTTATTTATTTAGGTCTTCTTCAATTTCTTTCAGAAATGTTGTGTAGTTTTTTGTGCACAAGCCTCTCATCTCCTTAGTTAAATTTATTCCTATTTTACTTTCTTTCATGCTATTATAAATAAATTTTTTTAATTTCTTTTTGGGATTATTCATTGGTAGCATATAGAAATATAACTCACTTAAAAATTTTTTTATTTATTTATTTTCAGAGACAGGGGAAGAGAGGAAGGAAGAAAGGGAGAAAAACATGACTGTGAGAGAGAAACATCAACTGGTTGCCTCTCATATGCCATGACCCAGAACCAAACCCACAATTTAGGCACTTATCCTGATCAGGAATTGAACCAGTAACCTTTCACTTTGTGGGATGACACCCAATCAACTGAGCCACACTGGTCAGGGCAGAAATATAACTCACTTCTGTCTCTTATCTTGGATCCTGCAAATTTACTGAATTTGTTTATTAACTTGTGCTTTTTTTGTATATTCTTTATAATTTTCTGAATATAAGATCATATCATTTGTGAATAGAGATAGCTTTACTGCTTCCTTTCCAATGTAGACGTTTTCTTTCTTTCTTTCTTTCTTTCTTTCTTTCTTTCTTTCTTTCTTTCTTTCTTTCTTTCTTTTTTTCTTTCTTACTTTTTTAAATAATTGCACTGACTAGAATATCCAGTGAAATGTGAAGCAGAAGTGGCAAAACCTGGCATCCTTGTCTTGCTCCTGATCTTAGGGCTGAAGCTTTCAGTTTTTCTGCATTTAGTGTGCCATTAACTGTGGGTTTTCTACATGTGACTTTTATTATGGTGAGGAAGTTCCCTCTATTCCTAGCTTAATGAGTGTTTCTATAATGAAAGTGTGTCAGATTTTTCCAA